ACATGGCCAGTGGAGTCAGAGCTGGCTGTGGCTCCAGACTCAGTTTCCTAATCTCAGCCATGTACCAAGGAATCTCTACATTAGCAATGAAGGGAGACGGGAGGGAAGTTTAAGATTCTCTGGCTCAGAACTTCCATGAAGCCCCAGGTACCTGCAGCTGTCGATGTAAAAGGCCACTGTCCCAATCAATATAGGGTGTTTGTCACAGCTAGTAATTGTGCTCTCTTGCCAGCTCATGAAGTATATAGGTGAGATCAGACCTGTTTAACATTGGGGCTCACAGGAACATGTATCTGGGCAGGCCCTCCATCACTAAGTGGGAAGCTGCACTCCAGGGTTCCCTATATTTAAAAATACAACATGAAACTATTTCCCATAGTTACTTCATTCTGTCACAAAACTTTGCCAAGTTCAAGAACAAAAGAAATGGTAAAGGTCCTTAGGTAGCACCATGCTGTCATGAAGTTAGGGGATGGAACTGGGATGATGGAACCTTGCTGGGTGGCAAGCAAGAGCATATACCTGCTGGCTCCTTTCTCTTCCAGCTATGGTGCAGTTGACATCTCTTTAGAAATGGTTTGTCACCTTGTAATGAAAGGAGGGGGCTGTGCCTGGCACTCCAAACTTAAAGTAAAACAGAGCCTCGAGAACCATTATACTCCCTATCAAGTCACGAGTTTTCCCACTGACAGACAAGTCCTCCCTCCGGCACATATGGCCGTCGATGCACTGTGGAGAAACAACCTGAAGTTTCAAAATGATTTCTAAAAGCCCCTGCCCCCTTTTTATTTCCTTTTCAAAGTGACTTTGCTATTCAAATGAATTCCAGTTCCCTCTGACAACTGTACTCTTAGAGATGGTGATTGGCAAGGGGAGGACACACCGTGGGTGTTACAGACACACCCCTTTTCTCCACTGAATTTCTTACAATTAACTGGCCTGCAAGTTGGGGGTGTGACAGGGATGGGGAGGAACTGGTTTTTGAGTAACTCAGGATAATAGGATGGATAGCAAGATGCAGAGAAGTTGGAAGCAAAACAAATTCGAATGTTCCTATGTGTAGATGCTCTTCTTCCAGCTGTGAGGGAGCTCGGGTGTGTGCGTGTGTGTGGGGGGTAAGCCCAGTGGGAGCACATGTGAGGCTCCTAGATGGTAGAATATCATATTTGTGGACACCACACACAAAACACCACTCTTGTGACGCTCCTCCATTTTCTCTTAAGAAAGAGACCCTATTAGATTTCTGAGGAAATCTATTCATCAGTGATAATCCATTATAGAAAGCTGGAATAGTGTGGAATGTAAAATAATGTTTGGTATTAGCTGACTTCGGAAGGAGCACAAGAAGATGGGGATGTTTTCCCATTCCTTTTCGCCTATATGGCTCAATTTCACAATATGTAAGTGATTGCACACAGTCAAACATACTGTTCTAGAGTATTTGTTTCTAAAAATTATGAGACACCTGTGGTGTCTTATAGCCCATAGGGAGTGGCACTATTAAAAGGTGTGGCTTTGTTGGGATAGGTATGGTCTTTTTGGAGGAAGTGTGTCACTGTGGGGTGGGCTTTGAAGTTTCATATATGCCCAAGCCATGACTAGTGTCAGAGTCCAATTCCTGTTGGCTTTTGATCAAGATGTAGCTAGCACTATGTCTGCCTGCATGCCATCATGTGCCCTGTCATGAAGATAATGGACTAAACCTCTGGAACTTTAAGCTGCCACCTCAATTAAATGTTTTCCTAAAGGAATAAGAGTTGTTGTGGTCATGGTGTCTCTTCACAGCAATAGAAACTCTAAGACAACACCAGATATGAGGGGATTTGCTGTTGAAAACTTGGGATACAATTCATGGAGAAGAACTAAAAACTGTCTGTAATTTAGTAACTAGACAGCACTGTTTACATGTCTACAATATGCCTGCTGGTGTGGACGTGTGTGACTGTGTTTGTGTGTGTGTGTTTATATGTCTGTGTATGTGTGTAACTGAGTATGTGTGTGCATTTGTGTATATGTCTGTGTATGTGTGTAACTGAGTATGTGTGTGCATTTGTGTATATGTCTGTGTATGTGTGTAACTGAGGAGATGCAGTCTCATATCCTATGTACAAAACGGCACTGTGAGCCATTTCTCAAGAGCACTTCAGTTTGAATTATAAATTATTTGAAAGGCTCATTGTGCAAAGGAGACTGAAGCTAGAGGCTGAACATCGTGGTCAGCTCTGATGGGACAGAGGGCTACTGAGTGCTGAACACAGAGCACAGCTTCCTGGTCCTTCGTGTCTGCATTTGGTAGCACAGGCTCCTCAGTGGCTCCCCCTCCACTCTGATTCACCTCCATCCCAGAGCTGGGGAGGAGGAGGATGCATGAACATCAGAAACTATGATCATCAGAGTGAATACCATTGATGATACCAGCAGCTGCCATCCACATTTTTATCTTCAATCCAAGAGGGTGGTACCTCATTGGGATCTTAGGAACTCACCACTGCCATACTCCATTTTACAACATTTTCTCCACCCCTGAGAAGTCCAGGCCCATGAAGAATTCAAGCCTGTCTCCAGCTCCTATTCGGAAGCCACAAATGCACCAGTTGCCTCTGTGGGTCAGTGTCCTGTTTGCTTTCTATTGCTGTGGTAAGACCAAGAGGAACTTGGGAAGGAAAGCAATTATGTGGCTCACACATCGAGATCACAGCCCATCACTGAAGGAAAGCCTGGAGAGGAACTAAAGGCTGGCACGTGTAGACAGGAGTGCTGTTTACCGGTTTGTTCCCCGTGGCTTTGTCAGCCTGTTTTCAACCCAAGACCATCTACCCAGGGGTGGCACCAACCCGCTCCCACATCAATCATTATTGAGAAAATGCCCCCACAAACTTGTCTACAGACCAATGTGATGGGGCCATTTTCTCAACTGAGGTTCCCTCTTCACACATCTCTAGCTTTTACCAAGTTGACAAAACCAGCTCAGTCTACTCTCAGCCACAAGAAACCAGAATCACTAGATATGAACTTCATGTTAACCTTCTTCTCTCAGGACCCTGTCCTCATGCTCATCCACAATGGATGGATCAGTGTTGTATTTATGCTCAACGCTGAGAAATACTGTGTGAACAGACGATGTGACTGTTTCTATGGGACAAGATGACAAAACGCTGGAGAAAGGCATCTCCGGAAGGAAGGGCTTACAGTTTGGGGGAAGAGTCCACCGTGGACCGGAAGGGATGGTGGTAGAAGCAGGAGGCAAGTGCTTGTGTTGTGTTCACAAATGAGATACAGAGTGTGGTGAACGCTGGTGCACAGCTCTCTTTTCCCATTTTCAGTCGACCCATGGGTTGGTGTCACCTACATTTGGGGTAGATCTCCTCACCTCAGTGAACCTCTCTGGAAACGTCTTTATAGACACACTGCGGTGTATCTCTCCCGGTGACAGTGGTGACAATAGACTAAACATCACACTGGTGTTTGTGCTCAAGGCTGTGGTGGGCTGTGCTGTCTCTGTGGAGCAGCTGGGTCATAGGACAATGTGTTCACTTCTGAAGAACTGCAGAAGCAGTTTATGTTGAGGACTTTCAAATGATCTTAATGTAATGTCTGTTTCTCTGAGACAGCCCTTAAGTTTATCTTATTAAATGTCAGAGTTGTTTCCTAGATACTTCCTCAGCCAGGAAGAATAATTCTTTAACATTTTTGTGAAGAATTTTGGACCATCCCAAGATGTTCAATTGACAACTAGCTATTGTGACATAATACCACCGGTAAGATTTTGTCTATTACGTTAGCTCTAAAAAACATACTTCATTTGTGTATCTTAATGCTCTAAGAAAAGCCGCATTCTATCTATCTACAAGCCACTTGTTGGTGTTTACAGTGGGCTTCCCTGGACATATACAGATGACGAGTCTCCTCCCAGGCTGGCAGAAATAGCCAATATTTGCATTTTCTAACCATTGAGCAACACAATTCATCTCTTTTACGGGAAAAAGTCTGCCCATTCTAAAGTTAGGCCTTGGATCTCACACACCTGCCAAACACTAGAGCCATTGAAAGAATTTCTCCTGCCTGTATACTAAGATGTTTACAGTCTGTGGATACTTCACCCATGCATCTATTACCCTGTTATATGTTGCTTGAAACCATCTACTTTATCTCCCCAGCTAGAAAGTGAGTTGAAGACTCAGAATGACACACTCTTTGGAGTCCTCTGCTGCTGAGGACAATACATTATAAGACCTAAAAATCCAAGTGCCTCCTTGACATCTTTTGAGCCTCACAGCACCCCTAAGGGCATAAGCATGGGGTCCTGGCTCCTGCCAGATCAGCCCCCACTCAAGGCTCCACCACTACAAGGCCAATACACATCACTAACAAGCTACCATCATATCATTTGTCCGTGCTGGTGTGAACCTTGTGCTGGTCAGGAGCTTGGATCCTCCCTTGGTGATAGTATGAAGCAGGTGACCAGTACAAAGCTGGTCAGAGTAAGCCCCAGGTCTGGGCTTGGGACAGGACCTTGGGTTTAATGTTTATGCCTCACTCAGAGGATGGGCACACCAGAGGCTGGAAGCTCCTGGATCCATTGACTGTCTATCTCTAGTCACTGGGGCAACCATGGAGCACAGCACGTTTGTGAATCAAGTTTCCTGTGAAACTGAGCAATCCAGTGTGGCGGGTGGTGCTCGGTCTACTGTGGAGTCACACAGCCAGAACAAACGGCTTCCTTCTCGATGCTCTTTTCCCACATGGTTCTCTGCAGCACAACATATGCAGAATGCTGCTTATGCAACAACCTCCCTCTGAAAACTGAACAAACTTTGCAGGGATAGTTACAACACCCAAGAAATGTTGGCAGCTCATTACCCAGATAGCGAGCGCCCGGTGCCCTCCTCTGGGGTTCCTGAAAACATGAAGACTAAATAAAGCCTATATTCCCACAAATTGCCAAGTGAAGACTGCAGTTGTGTGTCTCAGAAGTAACTGACCACTCCCAGGACCCTTACCTTTCAAGGTGGCTTTCTTCAGGACCTTCATGGCATAGAGCTGACCAGCATCCGATCCTGAGACCTTCCTCACCAAGAACACCTGAGGAGCAGAAAACACACTGGCTGTCTGTGATTGTTAGCTTTGTCTACTGGACACAGCCTAGACTCACCCAGGGAGAGACTGTAGAAGGACTGTCAGCATTGGTTGACCTGTGTGACTGTCTGTGGTAACTACAGTAACCACAGTGAGAGATACAGCCCATGATGGGTGGCACAGTCCCAGGCAAGAGTTACTGAACTGTATGAGAGTGAAGAAATTGAGATGAGAATAAGGTAGCAAGCCAACTAGTGAGCGTTCACAGGCCCATTTCCCTCTACTCCTGACTGTGGACGTGATGTGACCAGCTGTCTCAGGTTCCCGTTGCTGCAACTGCCCTGCAGTACTGAACTGTGGAATCGTGAGCTAAAAGAAACCCTTTCTCCTCTAAGATGTTTTTGTAGGAGTGTTATCACAGCAGCAGGGATGACACTGACGCATTCTAAATGAGACAAGGGGATATGAAGGAGCTCCAATCGTGGATGCACTATAGGAAACAAAGGTTATCTCCAGTACTTAGGCTTCCAACAGACACTTCCTCTGCCTGCTGCAGCTCTGTGGAGAGCATCATCCTGCTTATCTGTTTGGGTACCACTAACTTTCATTTGGTAGCAGAAGGGAGACACATGCAGAACAGACAGCACCAGATTTGCAAGACATGCTGGTGACTCTCATTTGAACTCTCCTTACCCACATCTGTCTTAGTTGGGGTTTCTATTGCTGTGATGAACACCATGACACTGAACACCATGATCAAAGCAAGCTGGGGAGGAAAGGGTTCATTATCAAAGGAAGTTAGGACAGGAACTCAAGCAGGGCAGGAACTCCTGCAGGCAGGAGCTGATGCAGAGGCCATGGAGGGGTGCTGCTTACTGGCTTGCTCCCTATGGCTTGCTCAGCCTGCTTTCTTATAGAACCCAGGACCACAGCTCAGAGGTGGCCCCACTCATCATGGGCTGGGCTCTCCCTCATTGATCACTAATTAAGGAAATGCCTTACAGCTGGATCTTATGGAGGCATTTTCTCATTTGAGCTTCTCTCAGATAATTCTAGCTTGTGTCAAGTTGACATAAAACTATTCAAGACAAGATTCTAGCTGTGGGCAGCAGAAGTTCACCAATAGGTTTTGCTTGTCTTTTTTTTTTCTGACTCTTAAGCACACTCATGTGGGTATTCAACATCCTCTGGAACATTTTTTGACACATGGAATAAATCAACTAAACAAAAGATACCTGAAACAGGCTGAGCTTAAGGCAAGATTACTGATTTTATTTTTTAAAGTTAATAAAGAAGAATGGTGAGTATGAAAAGGAATGTTCCACACACATGAAGAAAGCACTGGTTTTCCTAAAAGAATTTCCCCACTGGTGTAAGCCCTGCTTGGTACCAGAGCCCACAATGGCACCCTCGACTCTGGTGTAGGTATGAGTAGAGGCAGCTGCCCTTAGAAGGATGGATCTGTTGCATTTCTCCTTCCCAGAGGCTTCTCTCATGCCAAGCCCTCCTGAGTGTACTTTGGGTATTCTAGCTCCACACAAACTTTAGGTAGCCCACACTGGCCCAGGATGCAGTACCATGAGCCTGTACCTGTAATATCAATCACAGTAGGCTGCAGGTTTCCCTAGCCATGTGGCAGGTCATTCCCCATTCCCCTGGTTTTCTGTCATACACAAAGGAGTGTTCAGGAACCTGCAGAGGGCAGAGCATGGTCTCTTGGCACCAGAGACAACCTATGGACCAATGGGTATCTGCTGTCTTCCCAGGAGACCCCAACATCTATTCCAGGGACACAACAGAGAAGGAAGTGGGGAGACCATTGCCCAGGACCCACATTCACAGATGGAGTCAGCCCTACATCTACATTGTGTGTCCTGGAGGAAATTCAGCTGCTTCCTGATGCCTCTACCACATTTCTTCTGCCCACTGTCAGTACTGCAATCTTAGCCCATTTTGTGTTGCTATCACTGACTTTCCAAAGACTAAAACCGGGACAAGTTAATAGGAGAGAACAGCTGGTGTCCATGGGAAAATGTTATGCTCTCTGCCAGATGGCAAAGGTGCAGGGAAGGAGACAGGCTCTGTCTTGTGTAGTGATCAGCACCTCTAGGAGCACACAGAGTATGTGAAGACATGGGACACACCATCAATGAGAATGGCACTGGTTATTTAGAAGATGTGTGGGGCATTCATGTGTAAGTATGTACCCATCTCTATGGCTGGATGGTACAGACCCAAGAGAGAGCTTGGGGCTCAGTCATATGTGTACCAACTGCCACACTGGATTTGAGGCACCAAACCCTCCCACGGGATCTTGAGATCCATATGGCCCTGCACCAGTTCTGCCACATCCCTAGAAGTTACTGCAGATGGAAGGACTCTTGTCCTAGGCAATGTCGTTTGGGTTAAGGCCACCTCCTTGGTGTAGGGAACGAGCCCAGAGGGCCAGTGTGGGTTCATCCTACTAAGAACCAGGCAGAAATGAGACTGCAGTGCTTGGAATAAGGGACATTTCTGAAGACATAAAGCATTAGTGAGTAGCTGCTAAGTCCCCATCTCTGAACTGACTCAGTGTCGTTTCCACCTGATAAAATTCCATTACCTCTTCCAGCCTGTTCCTGACACATATAGCATCTGTCCGCACTTTGTCAAAATGTATAGAATTGATATCGCCTGGCGGGAGGTGGGAGGCAGGAGGCCACTGCCAGGAGTCTAGGTGGTGATGCTGGACTCTAGGTGCTATGCACTTGGCAGCTAAGCATCCATCCTGTCACTTGGGGCTAAGAGCTGAGAAGCAGCTTGGGGCTTGTAGCAAGGTCTGTTAGCCACACGACCAGCACATTTTCCTGCCAGCCATCAGATTGGAGTCAATGGGAGACGGGTATGGAGGAGCCAGCACAGAACATTGTGGCTGCACCCCTGTTGTGGGGTTTGCATGCCAGTGTGGGAGGTCAGGGATGCATGCAGCCATGGCCAGATCACTGAGTCTTCCTATGGAGAAGAGTATCCTGCCTGGGTCACTGCTGAAGTCCTCATAGAACTCTGGCTGGTGGACAGAGGAACTCCCGCCATTCTGTTATATTATAGCTGAGACAGAAGCCCCAAGAAAAAGATTTGCATAGTGGAAAAATAGCCATAAAATCCTCCTGCAGGGAGAAGTGGGGAGAGGAAGAAGGCTTCACTGCTCCGGCTTGTGTACATGCAGGACTACCTGGCCTTTCTCTGCCTTCTGCCTACACCCCGCCATGTAATATAGCATGATGTGACAGAGTCACCCAGGTCCCCTGCTGTACTTCTAATCTCCACATGGCAGCTGGGAGGGGCTGGCAGAGCCCTGTGCCACATTACAACACTTGGATTTGCTGGCCACCAATCAAATAAGCTTTTTTTTTTGTTTTTTGTTTTTGTTTTTGTTTTTCTTTTTTTTTTTTTAACTTGTCCCGGTTTTAGTCTTTGGAAAGTCAGTGATAGCAACACAAAATGGGCTAAGACAGAGTCATGGCAAATGGATGAATGGATGAAAAGAGCAGACCCACCCTGCCAACATCTAAGCAGAAAACTACATTCACTGGGCAGTGCCACCTACAAATTAGCTGAGATAAAGTCAACTTCTACACAGATATTTGCATATAAAATGCTTAAAATCTGAGGGAGACAAAGCCTTACTCTGCAGCCCAGGCTGGCCTCAAAGTCCTGAAGATCCTCCGCTTCAGCCTTTGAGCACTGAAAACTGTTTTCCTTATTGCATTTCATATTTTAAAAATGAAACCATGGATGGCAGAGGCTAATGCTTCCACTCATCTGTTTTAAGCAGGATCTCTGCCTTTTTAAAGGCACAGAAAACAGTTCCTCTCTGTCACTATTAATATGCTCCTACTAAGTGCCAAGAACTAGAGTTGTGCACAGCAATTCTCCCGAAGGTGATGAACGCACTGGACAGAGGTCACCTCTAGCACCATAAGAGAAGGGACTATATAATTTAGAAATCTATTTGGATGCAGCGAGAAAAAGCCCCAAAGCAACCTTGATAATTTTAGCAAACTGGCTGCTGTGTTTCTGTTGCTTCGTGCAGTGGTGTGTACTAACTTGTTCCACTTTCAGAACAATGTCTGTGCAGACAGCTGTGTGGCCTGGGCCAGATGCAGTCATTTGATCAGGATCACTGTAATGGGAACACTGTTGCCTGATTCCCTTGGCAACATGTTCTCAGTCTGGCAAGTGGACCTCCAACTGCAGGATGCCCAGAGCCCAAGTCAAAGAAGCATAGCCACTTTCTGGGGACTCTCAGGCAATGGCCTCCCCTGGAAGATGGCATTTAGATCCTCAAGCATGTGATGCCACTGAGAAAGCAAGGACATTTTAAAATGTCAGTTTGCTCCCTTCTCAGAACATGAGACTCACAATTCACCACACCCCAGGAACACCCCAGGGAATTTTAAATTAAAAAAGGGGGGAAAGCCTACTCCTGCCTTGGTACTTCTCAACAGAGGGAAGCAGTGGGGGCTGAAGAGGGTGGGAGGATCCCCATCAACCACAGGCATCTCCACCATGGAGCAGCCAGTCTGCACCACTCCATTCAGCTCTAGAACACACTACTTAAGCCCAGACTCCCCAGGATGATCGCAGTGCTGATGAGCTGTAAGTCAACATTGGTGAGGAGAGACCATGTCAAAAAGACTGTCCACAACGCGCCCTGCACACAGCTACAGCATCAGAGCCACAGGATTACCGAGTGTAGAGTACCTTGTAACACAGAACTCCGGGCTAAGGCTATTCAGGTTCTGGGGTACTCTGGCATGGGGACCTGAGGCAGCTGAGTCTCAAGGGCTGCTTGGGGGGAATTCTAGCCAGAGCCTGCCTATTCTGGGGTTCAGTGTAGCTGCTGCTGTAGGAACCATCTGATCTCGGGGCACAAACAGAGAGAGGCACACAGCTGGAGTTCAATGGCAAGAATGGTGTTCTGTTTATTTAGTCACTCAAGTAAGGAAGGTAGGGCAGTATGCTGAGCGATGGGAAATGGCCAACCATGGTGGGGTCAGGATTTCCAAGCATGGCCTACCCTGGGATCCTTGACATCTAGACTGATAGAGAGGCCCAGAACCTTCCACAGAAAGGAAATATGCCTGCCCTGCACTTAGTGGTACACAGCACATTTTCCTTCAGAGCAGGAACAGGATAGTGTGGGGAGGTCAGTCAGACCAGAGTTTGCTTCCCCAGTCAAGCTGCTCATGCAGCCCTCATGAAAAAGAAAACCTGTATTGACAAATGCAGATGATTTGTGATCCCCTGTGGTGTTGTGTAGAGCCCAGGAAGGCCCAAGTGGTGTCTCTAGGGTGACCCACTTCCTTTAGAGTCCTTGCCTAATCTCCTTGCTTTCCATAACAGCAACGGAACTTGGGGGAGAGGGGGGACTGAGCTGAAGGCAAGGATGTCCGAGATGCGATAGCCACAGGAACTTGCCTGTCCACTGCCCCTCTTTTCTTCTCCCACGGGTATCTGCACAACCCCATTCCTTTGTCCCACCTGTACACATAAGATCAGGAACTGAGAAGGGTGGGTGTGTAGCTCGTAACTAACAGCTCTGTTAAGAGAGCCAAGTCAAACGTTTATTCCAAAGAAATGCTTTTTTAAAAGCAAAGTTAAAATGTAAAACGAATGGAGATCCTAGGGAAGCCTTTCCTCCTCCACTTTTTTTTTTTTTTTTTTTTTTTTAAAAACAACTGTAAATTTTAAAGCACATTTAACTCTTGGGGAAGCCTTTCCTCCTCCCCTTTTTTTTTTTTTTTAAAAACAACTGTAAATTTTAAAGCACATTTAACTCTTGGGGAAGCCTTTCCTCCTCCCCTTTTTTTTTTTTTTTAAAAACAACTGTAAATTTTAAAGCACATTTAACTCTTGGGGAAGCCTTTCCTCCTCCCCTTTTTTTTTTTTTTTAAAAACAACTGTAAATTTTAAAGCACATTTAACTCTTGGGGAAGCCTTTCCTCCTCCCCTTTTTTTTTTTTTTTAAAAACAACTGTAAATTTTAAAGCACATTTAACTCTTGGGGAAGCCTTTCCTCCTCCCCTTTTTTTTTTTTTTTAAAAACAACTGTAAATTTTAAAGCACATTTAACTCTTGGGGAAGCCTTTCCCCCCCCCCTTTTTTTTTTTTTTTTTTTTTTTAAAGATGGGATCTCAGGTAGCCCAGGCTGTCCTTGAACTCACTATGTTGCCAAGTGTGGCCCTGAACTTCTGATCTTCTGCCTCCTCCTGCAGAGTGCAGAGATTACAAGTGTGTTCCTTCACACCATTTACACTGTGCTGGGGTTGACCCTGGGGCTTCATGAGAACAAGGTAAGCCCCATTCCTGAGCAAGATGTGTTCAGGTTCAGGAAGTTCTTGTTCAGGTAGACTGCTGGCTAAACAACCGAACTTCCTGTCCTGGCCCCTGTCCCCAGGAACTCAGGAGCTATGAGCATTTGCCAATCCAGCTGCTAGTCCAGTGGATACAGAGTGAGGACCACACTCTGTGTGCAGAGGGGATGCTGAGGGAAGAGCCAGCATTGCTGTCTCCTGAAAGGGACCAGCTGCCATTGCTCTGACCCATAGGGGCAGATGTCAGGACACATGCAGGTCCAGCACACAAACCCTTCCCAGGCGACAGCCAGCTTGGACTCATGGCTAATTTAATCCACAGGGTGATTATATAAAATAAGTTAGTTACTTCATTTTACAGATGGGGAAACTGAGGCATCAAAGGGCAAAACTACTGTGTCACTGACCCAGGTATGGAGAAGAGACAGACTCCAAATCCTTGCCTTCCTCATCCTTGAGTAACAGCTTGTAGACCAATCCAAAAAAGGCCCCTCTCCCTCTTTTCCTTTTGTTTTCTCATTTTTCTCATCTCTCCTCTCCTTTTCAAAAAGACCTGTTGAGGCTGCAACTTCCAAGACAACCTGACCTTAAATGCAATGATCTGGCTCCCTCAGTAATAACCACGAGCCAAGAGGACACTGGTGAGCGTGAGAATGTGGGCGACCTGACTCTTCGTGGCTCATGATTCTGACACACACACAGGCTCAGCTAATGTGGGCAGTGCCATGCAGGAACCCAGCCAGACTCAGCTGGTACCCCGCCTTTGCATGTGCCACCAGCCCCCAGTGCCGGTCCATTCAACTCACCTTCCCATAGGACCCTTGTCCTAAAACCTTCAGCAGCTCAAACTGGGAAGGGTCTGCCTTCTCAAAGCCTTCCTTCACATGGTTGCTAATGTCAATTTCCTTCACGATGCCTTCTTCCTGCAAGACAGCAGTGACATGTGGTTAGGACATAGCCAGGTCCCCCTCAGTCCATCTCCACCCTCCCCTAAAGCTGGGACATCATCTGCTCTGGGGGCTTCCAGCAAGGGGGATGGAGATGGTGTGCCTGCCTGTGACTGGCATGTGAGCCTTTAATTGCTTTCTCTCCCTCAGAGGTTCCTATACCATGTCTCGCCTGTACCACAGGGAAATCTGAATGTATTCTCCATGAAACCCACTCTGTGGTTCACAGTGTGGGGCTGGAATATGGCAGCAGCAGATCAGGAACCAAATGTTGCCCTGAGGGTGTCTTGCTCCACCACTCAGGAGACTGGGGGGAGGTTCCCACGTGGAAATGCAGATGATTTATTTTCTTTCTCACTCACTTTTCAATATTTTTGACACAGGTAATTCAAGGACTGCTACAAAAGAGCCTTTCGTCTCTATAAAACCTGCACAGCAATCACTACAACATCCACCATCCTGTCCTGAAGCTGTGAGGCTTCCTATACACAAGGAATGCAGGTTCCGCCCCAACAGCAGCCATCAGAGTGAGGGATCTGGACAGCAGGTATCATTGCCAGACATCAGAAAGGACAGGCCAGGAAGTCATCCCCAAACAGCCAGCAGGAGGTAGCCTTCCTGGGAAATCCTCCCAAAACAGCCAGCAGGAAGCAGCTTTCCCACATCTTCTTTCCATGCAAACTACAAAGCACGGTTTCCTCTTAATGGCTGAGTTCCACAGCTTCAGGGTCTCCATTTGAGGACTGACTCCAGTGCCTTCCATTCACCTCAGTCCTAGGTCAGATGTTTGGTGATGACATCACAGTGGCAACACCACTTACACATTACATTACAGGGAAGTGAGTGACCTGAGACTACAGGTTACACCACCTTAAGTCTCTTTGTCTCGTATTGATAGTTGCTATTTCTCCTTGTGAGGTCATTTTATCCAAAACTCTACAGGGGGTTTTAATGCAGTTCCCCCAGGAAAACAACATCTGCTCCCAAACTAGTGCCACGAATCACACTAAATGCCCAGGTTCTGGCACAGCACCCAAAAACAGAACTCATAAAAATAATTAGATGTTTGGGGAAAGAAGACAGTTTCAAGGTCAGATGCCAGCTCCACTTACAAACCCATCACCCCATGACATGAGAGAGAGAAACCAGAGACAGGGTCCCCTCTGCATGTGTAGATGACGAGTCCTAAGAAATCCTACTGAGCTGGAGCAGGGTTCCAGAATGTTCCAGAAGAGCAGGAAGTAGGAAGGGACAGCCACAAAGAAGTTACCAAGAGTAAGACCACAAATAAGCCTTTCTTCCCCTTCCCTGTTTTTATCTCCTTTATGTCTTTCTCTTGTCTTGTAGCTCCAGCTAAGATTCTGAGTACTATACTGAACAAAAAAGGCCAGAGTGGATATTGTGTCCAGTTTCCAACTTTAGAGGAAATGTTTAGTTTCCCTCCATTTACCGTTTGGTAGAATGTTGGCTACAGCTTCGTTGTATAAACCATATACAGATTTAACCTATATGTGTGTGCTTGTGTGCCTATGCATGCATACACAAATGTACACATATGTGAGTGCAAAACAGAAGGGACGATGAACTCAGGATACATCATCAATATAGCTGCCTAAACAGGACCTGAACAACGACAACACCAACAGACACACTGTCATTTGGAAGGGCAGAATCTCACAGGGCCCCACCCCTAGGCAAAAAGACTACAGACAACCAAGGGCTGAGAACTGCTGAGAGAGGGAGAAGAGCTGTATTCAGGGATGAGTTCCTTAGTTGGTTATCTAATTCCAAGTGGTCAGCCCTGAAGTCATATGCATACAAGGAACATTAAGCAGACTCAGCAGGCTGTATCTATATATTTGTGCATTTAAACACACACATAATAATAGCAGTTAAACAAAGAGGCCATGAATTGGAGGGAGAGTGAATGTGTGTACACGGACAATGAGGAGGAGAAAGGAGAGAGGAAATGATTTAATTATATTTTAATTTTAATATACTGTATATTAAATAGAAAGGAGACCGAAGGAGGGTAAAAATAGGTGATGGGTGGGGGATAAGCAAACATGACACATCCCCACTGACATAAAAGAGGAAGAGACTGAAGGGAGGGTTACAGGTGATCCAAGGAGCAGAGTGATGATGGAAATGAGGGAAAAGAAACCTAAAACACATTCTGCTCCAAAATGCACAGTGATATCTAACATTCTATATAATAATTTTAATACTTTTTAATTTAAAAAAAGTAGGGGTCACAACCCAGCTGCTGGGCCTCTGCCTTTTCTGGCCAGTTTCCTCTGTTTTTAATCTCCTACCTTTCCTGTCCTTAAACTGCATCATTTACGAAAAGCAAATGAAGTCCAAGGTTGTTAATTAGTGATGGTGAAGACCTAGGGAACCCTCCCCGCTGATCTGCTAACTCACTGATGCCTTTAAAGGGTATTTCATATATCATCCAGCAAATCTTTTGTTTTTCTTTTTGGTGGTGGTGGGGGGGTAAGAGGGCTGGCCACACCTAGTCTCTGACACTGTAACAGTGGAGAGGTCACCCTGGAAATTATGAGTTATGTCTAGGATATCAATTCCAAGAATAATAACAGAATAAATTGGTGACGGGGATTATGAAATAAAAAAGTAAACTGTAAGCAGTAATGCATGTCTTTAATCTCAGAACTTAGGAGGCAGATGCAGGATGACTTCCCACAAATTCTAAAACAGCTTGGGCTATATGTCCAATTTCAGGCCAGCTAGGGCTATATAGTGAGAGCCTGAACAAGAGTAGAGAAGTGAAGAAAAGAGGGAGGGCACAAGAGAGGGAGGCGGGAGGAAGAGAGGGAGGGAAGGAAGGAAGGAAGGAAGGAAGGAAGGAAGGAAGGAAGAAAGGAAGAAAGGAAGGAAATGCAGAAACAGAAATGAACTCAACTGACCCACAAATAAATGTGGGACAGATGGGGCAACAGCAGGTGGATCCCAGTATGGCTTTGGTGAGCAGAGTGACAACAAGAAAGGGTCAAGGATGACCAAGCCTGCCACAGAATCATGGGAAGAAGAGAAGTCAGGAGCAGAAAAGGGATAAAAGGGAGAGGTGCAGAGGAAGCACCAGACAGAGTAGAGACTGAATGCAGACAGGGTGACACATACAGTAAGTCCTTCTTGGTTACCTGGGATCTCTTCCATTCCCACTGATGCTCAGGACAATACATCCAATGTAATGTAACTGAGGGTGCAGGGTCTACGGAGGAAGAGGGAGTTCAAACGCACCACAAGGCCCTTGTTTCTCAGCCTCACTGGAGAGTAACCTTCCCCCTCTCCCAAAGAAAGTAACTGAGCCCACAAGGGTGGTCAGAGAGGCAAGCTCACACCCACAGGACAGACAGTAAGACAGGCCGAGATGGTTGTCTGGGACTTTTCATCTTCAAAAAGAAGTCACACAAGCTGCCTGAGAACTACATTTGTGACTTTTACAATACAGAAGCAATAGCTGAAGAGTAGTTGGAGGACGGACCAGAAACAAGTATGACCTCTTTTCCTCCCCCCTTTCCCCGCCCCCTGCGGCCGGGGGGCCTTCTGACTTGGGTTACTAAGGCGACATGAAAACCTCTAGGTGTTTTCTACTCTGCTTCTCTGTTTTTAAATGAAAACCCTACCCACAGTCTCCAGCCCTTTTCACCCAATTGTTTGCTGTGGTTTTATGAAACACACTGTATGAAAATGGGACTCCCTGCCAGCTGCAGTCATGAGCATGGCTGGTGGGTGGAGCTCCACATTTGTGGGGCCTCCTTCCCACCGACAGCACCCACAGGGTAGAGGCTGGGTTGCCCAAGAACACATGGTCCCTTACGGACTCAGAACCTACCTCCCTTTGGGACAGCTAACTCCAGGAAAAGGGAGATAGAAACTAATAGTTTCTGGATGCAAGGAATAATAGGTAGAAAAGAACAGTTTGTTGGTCTTAGATATACAGTAGCTTTAATACTTGACATACAAAATCCCTTTGGATGCAGGGACAAAGTTTTCAAGCAAAGTACATGGTAAGAGTCTGTCCATGCAATGGGGACAGCTGTGCACCCTTCTCCAGGTGGCAACATGTTCATAGGAGAAGGTCGGCTGACGTGGGCTTGGTATCAATGTACTGAAAACAACAACAACAGAAGTCTTCAAAAGTAACATCATATGGGCAGAGATACGGCTCAGCAGTGAAGAATGACTGTCACTCTGGGGACCCGAGTTCAGTTCCATCGCTGCAGCCCCAGGAGATCAACAGCACTCTCTGTCCTCTGAGAGCACTTCCACAGGTGACGCACATACACACGTGCACATACACACATACACATACACACACTTCTGTCCTATGAGAGTACTTCCACATGTGCTGCATGTAAACACACATATGTACATACATATACATACACACACATACATACACACATACTTGCACACACATACAGACACATACACACATGCACCTCTGTCCTCTGAGAGCACTTCCACATGCTCTGCATATACAAACATCACATAAATAAAACACTAATAAAGTAAAATTAGGGCATAGCATCAATCACAGACCTCTGAATCAAGTGTGATGTGTGTATTTCATGTACTTTTATGGCATTCATACATACACATGCATTCACTTTGCTAGCTTTCTAGATATGGACATGAAGACTACATTTTGCCCAGAAGTCAACAGTAGCACTAACCCAGCATGCTTGTCACATTGGCAAGCGGTTGCTGGGTCTGTGCTCTGCCTGTGGAATCTCTGAAGGGGCCTGGTGGGACGTGGTTGCCTATGACAGGCAGTGAAAGGACTCTGTCCCTCCATCTCTGGCCTGGGCTGTGTTTTCAGCTTCCTGCTAGAGTAGATCTTGAGATCCTGATGAGAAGAAATCATCAGACCAGCTGTGTGACACTGCCACCCTGCCATTGGTGTGATTCTGCCACCCCTGCCACAGGTGTGACTCCTGCCACAGGTGTGATTCTGTCACCCTGCCATAGGTGTG